ATAACAAATAATTTTAAGCAAAAAATACAACCGACTTCAATGCGCATCCAGGTCGTTCTGGCTACGTAGATCCGACTGTCCTCCCTTTTTTTTAATTCGTTAAAAAAAAATTAATACGTATTCTACAGAAAAAAATCAAGATACATATTTAAGGATTTTAAGTAAAAACTTGTTCGTGATATCTTGACCAAGGTGTATTCATGGTACAAAAATCTGAAGGTAAAACCGTTGAAAGGCAGCCTTAACATTTTTAAAGTTTGCTAACATTACAAAAATGTTTTCAATTTTCCAAATCTCATAAATACATTCTCATTATGTCTCAAATAAATGAAAATTTCAGTATTTTCATCTATTTGTTTTTCGTTTTACCTTTATTTGGCATTTGAGTTGCTCTAAAAATTTCAATTTTATAAAATAGACAAACTTCAAAAAGTAAATGATGGCCGACGAATTGTGCAAGCGGTTTTACCTTTAAATATTTGTATCATGGGTGTATTAAACAAGGGGCCGTATGCATAAAACCTAAGCAAATGCTTTTTCTTAAAATTTCAGACCTTTCACTCAATTTTTTCAAAAAAATTTAAGTGAAAGGTATAAAAATCTGAGAAAAAGTAATTGCTTAGTTTTTATGCATACGGCCCAAGGTGTTATAGACAACTCAGTGCGGCTCTCTTTTAAGCTACTATTATGTAAAAAAATATAAACAAACGATTCAAAATTCATACAATTTTTTTTAATTTGACTTTATAGGATGGTTCTTCTGAGAGCAATGTCAAATTCAATCACACTTTGTTAAATACATCTTGATCACTACCAAATAATGTACTTCCTCTGTAAATATTTTATGAAGTGTTCCAAAATTCGCTCCGAGCGCGCTCACTGTTGATCATTTGATTTAAATAGTTTGTCAAACAATTAATACTATAGCTTGATCGGAGTTAATATATTCTTCAGTAAATAATTATATTATATTAAAACATAAGCTTATGAGAAATTATTTAGTCGTAACATGCATATTTTATATAGTGTTCCAAAATTCGCTACGAGTGCGTTCACTATTGATCTTTTGATTCAAATATTGTTTGTCAAGCATTCAGTAGTGAAGTTTGATCGGAGTTTATATATTATTCAGTAACTAATCATATTAAATTGAAATATAAACGTATAATACGGTAGAAAGTTAGAAATTATTTAGTGTTAATATGCATAATTCGCTCCGTGTTCCAAAATTCGCCCCGAGTGCGTTCACTATTGATCATTTGATTTAAATAATTGTCTCTCAAGCATTCAGTATTATAGTTTGATCGGAAATTATATATTCTTAAGTAATTGATCACATTTTATTAAAATATAAA